CATGGCAGCTGACACCCACGTATGTTGATTCAGACCGTGTGAACAGCTATGAACTCTTGAGTTCCTACATAAAGGCTCAGCATCTGTTTGCTGATTGACTATGACCTCTTTCCTGGGCCTGTATGGGTTTTTCTTGGCGTAAACCTCCCTCACTTCCTCCTTCTTTTAGAATGAAGAACTGTTAAGTTCACAATATTTTTGATGTTGTGATGAATGTTTTCTTGTCATTTAATTGCATTGGTAGCTTTGTTGTTTGTTAGCTGTATTGCTACTCACTTGTCTTTCTTTCATTCAAATGGAAAAAAAATATTCAATGTCAGTGCACTATGAACATTGTGATTTACCCTCTGTCAGTGGTGTAACTCTCGGATGGATTACTTGTCATTTAATTGAATTAATTGCTTTGTTTCTTGTTAGCTGTGTTGCTAATCACTTTTCTCACTTTCATTTTTCTCACTTTCAAAAACATTAATGACAATACACAATGAACACTTATCAGTGGTGTAACTCTGGGATGGATTACTGCGTGTGCCAATGCAGCTAGTGCCCAGGGACTGTCTGCCAAAGGCCCCAGTGGTCAGCTGAAAAAAAAATAGGTAAATGAGAAGTCTTTGAATTTGAAAGCCCACACACTGCTGCCATATAAAATAATTAAAAGCCCTCTAATACCATAAATGTACAGAGAGATATAACTGTCCAGTAAATAAGAGGCTATTGAACAAAAAAGAGAATTTCACAAATAATAATTTTGTTTGTTTATTTTACATTTTTCAAAGTGCATTTAAACAAAAAATCTTCAGTTCTTCAATTTTTTGTTAGCATACTAAGGATAGGCGGCCTCCAAAGATGCTCATTAGACCATGATCTATTCCTGGTGTAACTAGTGCCCCCCTCCACACCTACAAAAGAAAAGTACTATCAACAAATAAAAATTACAGTAACACTTTATTTTAGTCTTTTGTAAATGATTACTAAACCCTTTATAAAGTATCAGTACCACATCAACAACATATCAGTGAAGTAGCAGTAGTGCAGCATCTGAAAACACTGAAGTGAATATCTTGTAGATGTACTGTTGATACATTACTTACATTAAGTACATATATTGTTAATATGTTACTTCCATTACACAAAACCTAACCTTACCCAACCTAACCCAAAACCAAACCCTAATCCTGGCCTAATCCTAAACCTTACCTTGACCTTAACCCAAAACCTAACCCTCATATGTTTTTGACACGAGAGTCCGTTGAGTGTTTGAAAAGGACCACTCAAAATAGTGTCACCAAATTGCAATGTAATTTCTTTGTTTACTCACCATTGCCATGTCTCAGACAAGTCACTCTCAAGGCCACTCCACCCACTAGCATCTAGCATTAAATGTTTACATTAGACTACCTAAGACTCGCCTAGAGTCTCCAGGAGCTATGTTGGTATGAAACTGATCCTTCTGTGAGTCATGAATATACAGTCATTCTCTATATAAGTGGCCCAATAAAGAATTTAAGGGGTCTGATTACCACATCTTCTGTGCCATAGACCACAGTGCAATTGCCCCTTTTTACCCCCCCAGTAATTACTCCATTGCCCTTTGAGTTGCTGCTAATATAAATTGCTAATATTAGTTTTTGTCACAGTATTGGTTTCAGTAAAAATTAATTAATAGACTTTGTTGACATGAAATTTTAGTTGGTAACTGGCCAAGATTTTAAACATCTGATTCTGGTTTGGCGCCAGAACTGATACTGAGTGGGGTATCTGAAAATCATGGAGTGCCTAGTGGTGGGGCAGGGTGGTGCAGTGTATCCATGTGCCACAAAAAAGCTACGGAACCACATATTATTCTAGAGAGAATAAACAGGAGATCCACATTTACAGAAAGTGACATTTTAGTAAACATGCACATCCCTACAACGCAGCTAATACAGAGTGATGCAAACTACTATATTAATCATTGTAACCTTTTACATTGGGCACACAAGGCAACAGAGCCAGCACACACAAAGTTTAATTTCACTTTGATGTTTTTTTTGCTGCCTGCCACTGTAGAAGTACACTGCATGTACAGTGGATCTAGTGGTGATCCCCTGACACCAGGCATTCTAAATCATAAAATAGTTGCTGATACTAAATCAGTGTCAGTGTAACTCTGCAGAAGGCAGGCCCAATAGGACTTAAGTGGCTTTTCAGGAGTCCCAGTCAGCTCACCTCTTGTCATGTCTTTGTGTGTGTGTATATATATATATATATATATATATATATATATATATATATATATATATATATATATAAGTAAGCAGATGGTAAAGAGAATGAGCTTGTACTGTAGGTTTTAGCTTGTATTTATAGTAGTAGACTCTGGAAATAATTATAACAGTAATTATTCCTTGACTGCTCCTTATGAGCCTAACAAGAGTGTTTTAAATCCTTAGGTTGATAAACCAAAAGCAAAATATCTTGGAGTCTCACAGTGTATATAATTTCAGTCTATTGTCACTGTCAAAATTTCATAACTTTAACAGCATTTGAAAGCTGTCCTTTACTCTGTGTGAACACTCCATGATGAATGGACCAATAATTGGAATAAAATCTTGTTACATTAACATACATTAAAATTAAGAGTGATTTTTCCTTTTACTGGAACCATTGCAGATAGACAAGGTTGTGTCATGACAGCAGCAACATGCATTCATACTGGAATAGTAATGTTGTGGCAAGTGAAGTCATCCTAAATCTCATCAAAATGTCTAATGTTTCTCATTATGATATTGTAAGAATATTATAAGACTGTTCAACTTATTTCTAGACAATTTTACTTAATTGTCTTTTTATTTGTTTATTGTGTGTAACTATTAAAGTACAGGCCTACAGTGGTCAGATTGCCTGATAAGCTATCTTGCTCTTTTGCTATTGATACTTTTCTGACAAAGTTCAAGCTCAAATAAACAAACACTCTCTCAAGGTGTTCTAGCACCAGTCAGAAGTTACATTGTTATATACAGAACTTACATTGCTTTCATAAGACCCTTGATTTGTCTCAGTAGATGCATTTACTGTTTTCTTTTATTTATGCATTTATTTCTTTTACATATACATAATTCACATTCTGTTTGTTGCAACATTAACATATGATTGTGAAAGCTAACAACTGGGGATAATAATTATGGTCAGCTTAAAATAACTGCAATCAGGTGATTATGTAATAATTTTGACAGGCTTACTAAATTGTCTTATTATATTGGTTAATAATTAATTTACCACAAGATGAAGATGAAGATATGAATATGAGCCTAAAATGCTGACTTTTTAGCTAAAAATTGAGGGTATTTACATCTGAAGTGGAATGCGTGGTATACTATTTACAACCATTTTCAAACATAGCCCCCATTATTAGGTGCTTGAAAGTAATTGAACAAAGAAACAATCATAAATTGCCAATTTTAATAATTGGTTGCAAATCCTTTGCTTTCAATGCCTGCCTGAGATCTGGAACCAATAGACATTACTAGACACTGTGTTTCTTCTGTGGTGATGCTCTGCCAGGCCTTTCAGCTACCTTCAATTCCTGCTTGTCCTTGGGGCATATTACCTTCAGTTTTGCCTTCAGTAAGTGAAGCCATGCTCGATTGAATTGAGATCAAGTGATTGACTTTGCCATTGCAGATTTTTTCACTTCTTTGCCTTAAAAAAGCTTTTGGTTGCTTTTGCATTGTCCATGTCTGAAGTTCTGAAGCATTTGGCTGAATCTGAGCAGATAATATAGCCATATACACACACTTCAGAATTCATCCTGCTGCTTTTGTCAGCCAGTTCCATTGGCAGCTATACTTGCACATCATAACACTACCTCCACCATGCTTAACAGATGAGGTGGTATGCTTTGGATCATAAGCAGTTCCTTCTCTTCTCCATACTCTTCAAAAGTAGATCTTTGCCTCATCTGTCCATAAGATGTTGTTCCAGAACTGTACACGCTTTTTAGATTTTTTTTGGCTAATTCAAATCTGGTCTTTCTGTTTTTGAGGCTTACTAATGGTTTACATCTTGTGGTAAACCATCTGTATTTACTCTAATGAAGTCTTCTCCTTTTTGTAGCGATTGCATAGATACACCTACCTCTTGGAAGGTATTCTTGATCGGGCCAACTTTTGTGAAGGGGTTTTTCTTCACTAGGGAAACAGTTCCTCTCCATCCACCACAGTTGTTTTCAATATTCTTCTGGGATTTTTGGTGTTTCTGAGCTCATCGGTGCATTCTTTCTTTTTGAGAATGTATGAAATAGTTGATTTGGCCAAATTTTGCTTTTGATTTTTCAGCCTAACACATTGCTTCACTGGCAGTTACGGCTCTTTGGACCTCCAAATTCAAGATTTGGAATTCCAGATTCCAAATGCAAATGCCACACTTGAAATCAACTCTAGATCTTTTATCTGCTTGCTTGTAAATGTAATAATAAAGGACTAATACATACCTGGCCATGTAACAGCTGAGCAGACGATTGTCCAGTTAGTGTGGAGCCCCAAAATATGGTTGGATATGTATGAAAATGGTTGTAATTCCTACACAGTTCACCTGATTTAGATGTAAATACCCTTGTATTAAAGATGAAAGTCTCCACTTTGAGCTTCTATTCATAATGCGCTTTACTCCAATGTGGTGTAGTTTGTCAACAGCCAAATATTTGACTGTTGACTGTATACTGACTGTATACTAACTAGATGTAAGATGTTTTCACTTGCCAACAAGTACTTTTATGCTGTTTCTTAATGGGTTTTAGACAGATAATGCCATTAGTGGGTAAACACAGGCAGAGGCAAAGTGTAAAGCTTTTAGCAGTGCATGTTCAAGTTCTGGGCAGGAGTCACACTGAGCAAATAAGCTGTGTTTTCAGTGGCTCGCCCAGCACATGAATATCCTTCACATACATCCTGTTTGAGATCAGCCACACCTATATCAGAAACTCTGCTTCGAGAGCTGATCTCTGACTTAGCCTGTCCTTTTTATTCATTAGTTGGAGTTGCAATCAATAGAGCATGCGTTGACCCCAGATCAGTTCTATGCAGATTCCTGGAGACTTGTAGACTTGAGTGACCATGTGACAGAAGCACGAGTATGTGTCCATGACTCAAAGCTCAGCAGCTTGTAGGGTGAACCCATCATCAGTGGAAAACAATGGATATTGACAAGGGTTCATCAGCATTGAACTCCAAGAGATAAAGGCACATGGAGGCAGAGCCATGAGCAGGAGCTAGGCTGTGATATCACTGCAGACAGTACAGCCCCACCCATTTTTAGCATAGGTATATGTGTGAACACAAGTTTATTTTGCAGCACTTTGCTGATGTTTATGCTATCGGAACGTGGAATACTGCACAAACATTCGGGACTGACGACTGCCTAATTAGGCAAAAAAAGGCCGCAGGACATTCACAAGGTAAGACAGTCTTTTTAAAAACAGCAAATAAGAATATTTGTTTGTTATGCAGTGCAAATTGTTCATTGAGCTGCTTTGCAACAGATTATTCAGAATAACTTTTATGCAAAATCTATGCAGTGTAAACAACCTGTAATGCTAATCATAGCTATTTGGAGCTTAATTGGGGATACATATGTGGAAGACACACAAATAAGAAATGGAAAATCTTAAAAAAAAATGTCAAAAATGAGGCAAAGAAATTGAGCTGAAAACAGTTAATCTGGGAGATAATTGTTTTAATTCTGTTGTATAACATCATTTACACTGCACTGCATCTGGGCCTAAAATCATGTAAACAAGTAGGCTTATATATGTTCCTTCTCATTACATGTTCATGTTTTTAATGCAGGTCTTCAGGTGCAATCAAGATGGGAAATAGGCAATCCCTTGAAATAACAAGACCACAGGTAGCATCTTTAACGTTTACGTTTATCTGCATTTTTATGGGTTTACAAAAAAAAAAAAAGGGATTGATTTTAGCCTGAAGCTGTGGAAACATAGCCTTGTACAAGTTCTAAAGTCCTTGCTCTTATAGTCGGCAATGTTCTTGTGTTATTGAGCCAGAAACTTTCAAGAATGTTGCAACATGCACAGCAAAATACATGTTGATTTTTGGCTGGATACCTTAGATGTCAGTACTGGAGGTTTTTCTGTGTGCTTTCTCCTGTGCATGTTCATGGTCCTACAAATAAAACTGGTATATCGCTGCTGTCAAAGCAAAACCTTGTATTTTCATTTCTGTTTTTTTTTTTGTTGTTTATGACATAATTTGAAAATGCCAGTTTCCCTTTACATTGTGTGTTAATTTCACAACGAATGGACCAAAAGAAACAGCCCAAAACTACTTGGAATAAAAGTCTGATTCCATTGACTTACATTACAAGTAAAGTATGTTTTTTCTTTCTACCGTAGAGTTATCATTTTGGAGATATGAGGTTTTGTTCCAATGGCAGCGATGTGTATATATATATATGACTTCCGTTAAGTCGCATTTAACATACATGACATTCTATATATTCAGTTATTAATAATAGTTACATTTTTGATGTTATGCAGTTTTCTCTGTCATTTTAGAATCGTACTTATATGGAGCATACTACTGAATTGTTCAAACAGGAAAAAAAAATATTAAAAAACAGTTAAGAATTCATACCTTAGATATTTACAAGGATTATGTCTTTATTTATTTAAACCCAAGGCACTGACTGGGATAGTAGGAAAATATAAATATATAAATATAAATACTCTCTGTAGGGAAATGACTATTCCCTAAATAAACCCTAACCCCTATTTTTCTTTTTTTTAATGTTGTTTTTAAAAAGATCTTTTTGTTTTCTTTTAAATCTATCACAAGTTTAATTTTTAAATAAAAATAGCTCTGTCCCATGTTTTTTATGTCACTACTGAAATACAAAGAGTTTTAGTCCATGGCTGGAGCCATATTTTAGCCACACCCCTGCATTCTAGAGCAGAAAGTGAGACTACATCCCTGTCCCTCATGGCCACATGTGAGCAGTTAGATCCCATTGTTTTGAAGTAAATGTCTAAAAATCTGTGTGTAACTTTGACAATTGTCAATATCACAGCATGTGTTTTCATGAAAAATATTAAGATTTTATGAGTGTATGACTGTTCAAAGCTGTGTTCGCTGTTTGTATACTGGCTAGCGTTTTGAGTTCTGCTCAAAATTAGCTCAAATTGTCACTACTGAAACATTTAGTAACGTTTTCGGAAGTTATTGTATTGGTAATGACATTTGCTTCAGGCAAAAGGATTTTAGTCTGAAGTTCAAGTTTTGATTTATAACTTTGAACAAATTCGGTAGAATGACCCTTATACTGTACAGTGCTATTGATCTTTCTGGATATATCTAAACGTTTCAGTTTCTTCTTGCTTCTTACTAAGTAATTAAAATAAATTAATTGATTCTAAACTTTTGAACTGAAGTGTTGTGTACATTCCTTTTACCTCATATGGATTACCATAAAACTGAAAATGCAATAATGTGAAGAAAAATACAGAAGCTAAACAGTAAACTGAATAATTATGGAGCATTATATTCTAACATTTGCTTCTTCTTTTCAGACAGAACATGGTGGAAAACACGTTCAAAATGGTGAACCCAACGGACATGCTATATCTGGTTCTCATTTGCCTGATGCTGGTAGGAACATCAATGCTACATAGGCTGGGACTAATCATATCTGTTGTGTGTTGTTGTTCGGTCAGATTTCTTCTGTTCTCCATGTGTTTGGATTGGAATTTTTAAATGGTTATGATCAACAGAATCAATTCTTATCCACCCTGGTTTTAGATCATATTAGGAATTTTAAGTAAGGCATGATGGTAATGCTATATAAACTTTGGGCGTAGACCGGTGACAACACTTGTGACAAACTGCTGTTTGATTTTCTCCTGTGCATACAGCATCTGGCTGCACTAGCAGTCGTATAAAAGAATAAGCAAGCTGCACTGAGGAGGATGACTTGAGAAAATATTGATATTTCAGCAAGGAGGCAGACTGTGAAGGCCTGATTCAGTCAGCTTTCACAGATCATTATTGATGACTCATAAATTTTCAGTTAGCTGGTGGATTTTAGCCAGTAATCTTTGTGTACACTTTAGTTGCGTTGGTTATACAGTTTGTAGCTACTGGTAACTCCTTGGACAAAGCTTTCACTGGGGAGTGGCTGTTGAACTCCCTGAGCAGGCTGATATTTCAAATCCCTGACATGGCTGTATTAATTAGAAAGGATTATTTGGTATCCATGACATCCTATAACATGCCAAGCGATGTTAGTAGAGTATGCTTAGGCTTTTCTAGAAGTGTCCAGCGATTGTGTGGTTGTCCTGTATGCTTAAAGGTGCCAGAGGTTCACCAAAGGACACTGCAGACATCCAGCAACCACTGATATTTCAATTCTATAGATTTTTCAAAAGTTACGAATAAATAGATATTTGGGAATTAAATTGTAGAGAAACGTATCAGTTCTTATTTCTTAACAATGGTGGTGATAGGAACCTGGGGTCATGATGTCTACAACACAATTATAGCCACTTTATGATTTTATTTACTATCCAAAATGAACAGTGAACCTTCACATGTCTTCTGAGTTTTTATAGGCTTTGTATTGTTGATAATGGTATAATAGTGATAAATCCAAAAATATACATTTTCTTTGAGATCTATTTTGCCTTACAGTGCCCTGCATGTACCTCTCTCCCATGGCAGTCATTTTAAAAATGCATTTTAAGGCCCAGTCACTCTAGAGTTTGTGAAATTACATTCATTTAAATTGAATTTACATTGTTGAATGGTTTTGCGTCCTAAACTTCCAAACTTCCTTCCTTCCTAATGTCAGGTTCAACTTTGGTGAGTCCAATACATGAATTTGAGTCCTTGATCAATAGGGCTACTGCTCTGACTGTGCTGACCTCTGAAGAGGCCTTTCCTATGGCAGCACTGAACCATCAAAAAGAGGACATGCTAATTTTAGCAATCTTTAAGCACAAACCTGTAAACATTTCTTCTCCACTGGCTATAAACACATGAAAAACAGACTGCATTATACACAGTCAGTCAGGAGACTTCATTGTTATCTTCACTTTGTGGCTTAACTGTTTGCTTTAGACAAGTTAGCCAGCTTGCTAATGATTTGGAAACTCCTTGGCAAACAGCAGCCGCACAAAGATCACCTTACTGCCACTAACCATGCCAGCTACAGATCAGTGTGCAGCACTATGCTGTGGTAAATACATAGTTATCTGATATAATGTTCCTTTTTGTGTACTGTCTATGTTAGGTGAGTTAGCCAGCTTGCTAAGTGCTATGTTAGCTCCTTGGCTAACAGCAGATGCACACGTCACCCCACTGACCATGCCTGTTATCTATTTTATTAAATTTTATTTATTTAAATTTTTTTTTGTGTGCAGCACTAAACTCCCACAAATATATAATTGTCTGATATAATTATGTCCATTTTTCTGTTCTTGCTGTTTATGGTTAGCGAGTTAGCCAGCTTGCTAACTGGACCTACATGGAGGATTTTTTCTGATTGGCTGCCCTGTATTGTGCATCATTAAAAACTTGATTAGGTTTAAAAACTGCTTATTACTTCAACGTGACTGAGGGAAAGAGGTGGATATATGTAAATGTATGACATTTTTGTATAAAATTTCATAACATAAAAAGAGTGAATTCACAGCAGGCTGTTTTTGCTGCTTAGTTTTCATATATGGTCTGGGTGGACTAGGGGATGAATGGTGTGTTTTGGAACTTTAAAAAAAACTCTTATCAAACTCTTTTATTTAAAAAAGTGAGGAAAATCCTGTTTTCAATAATGGTGCCCTTTAAACACTTTGGACACCTGGTTCCTATCACAATTTCCTATCACTGTTCAAAGTATAAACATTTTTGACTCTAAAATGGTGTGTCACGTCAAACCACTCTGATTTGTTTACAGACTTTGTTTACACCTTAACAACTAAGTTATGCAGAAATATTGAAAAATAACCATTTGAGGGATAAAAGGTTTTGGTGTGATAGTGATGATATTTCTAATGTATTTATGTATCTGCATGGACACCATTTGTGGTGTTTTAACTGCATTTCTCTCGTCTCTAGTGTCCTGTGAAGTATCAGTGCAGCAAAACAGTGAACTGCCTGTCATGACTCAAACAAATAACACAAAGCCACCAGCAGAATCAGTAGAAGTTGATGCCAAGCAAGCCAGGGCTGTAGTCGTATCTCTGGACGTATCACCTGAGCAAGAAATCCCAGCAGAGAGCAGCACACCAGTTAAAGAGGAGACACCAAAACCAGCTCAGCCCGCCAACTTCTTCAAGAAGTTCAAGAAGAAGAATGAACCTGTGGCCCCAGCAGCAGAGGGTAAGTGAAGTAAATCAAATTTTGTTTTTTTTAGTTTTTTTTCCCTTTTGAAAATATTAGCTTCCTTTACATTTCGTCAACATTTCATTATAAGTGAACCGACAGAAATGGTCCGAAATTACACAGAGCAATTAATATACACTGAAGGGCAATTCCACAGATTTTTTCCACTGAAGTTATGGATGATTCAGTCATTGAGAATTGAATTATAGAAAAACTTGCCAGCTCTGTTTTTTTAGTAGTTGTAAGAACCAGGGGTCCCACTCTACCACATGAATATAGCTGTTTTATTTACTGTGCAAAATGGGTCTTTTGAGTTTTATAAGCTATGTAATGTTGAGAATAGTGACATAGTGTTAAATCTGAGAAAATAAGTATCCTTTGAGAACTATTTTCACACACAGTGGCCTGCATGTACTTCTCAGCTTAGAATGTATTTACAAATATACTTTAGGCCAAAACTTCATCTCAAAACTACAGTTAAACAGTGTCTCAGACATGAAGCAGCATATTCATAACCATTTAACCAAAACTGTTCTGTGACTTGTTGACTGAAATTACTGAAATATACAGAAATGTTGAAAAATTGGTGTACATTCCCTTTCAAGATAAGAATGTCTTTTCTTCCTGTTTCAAGTTGCTATTTCTGAGATTTTCTTTCAACAGTGATGATATTTCGAATGTTTTTATGTATCTGCATGAACACCATTTATAGTGTTTTAAATGCATTTCTCTCATCTCTAGTGTCCTGTGAAATATCAGTGCAGCAAAACAGTGAACTGCCTGCCGTGACTCAAACAGATAACATAAAGCCATCAGCAGAATCAGTAGAAGTTGATGCCAAGCAAGATAGTGCTGTAATCATATCTCTGGAAGTAGCACCTGAGCAAGAAATCCCAGCAGAGAGCAGCACACCAGCTAAAGAGGAGACACCAAAACCAACTCAGCCAGCCAACTTCTTCAAGCTTTTCAAGAAGAAGAATGAACCTGTAATCCCAGCATCAGAGGGTAAGTCAAGTAAATCAATACAATTATAGCATTTGTATTTGATTGACATGTCTGTGTCATATAATCTGTCATTTAATAACATTGCAACTCGATTAATTTCATTTTTGATTTTAGTTTTTCTGCACCATTTGAAAAAAGCAGCTGTCCTTTACATTGTGTGAATACTCAATAAGAAGTGGACCAGCAGAAATGGTCCAACATTACTTGAAATTGTTTATATAAACTGAAGGGCAAGTCCACCAATTTTTCTAAATTTACAGATAATTCAATCATTGGGAATTTAACTGTAGAGAAACATACACACTCCGATTTTTTAACAATGATTATAGGGTTGTAATGTTTACAACACAAATGTGGCCACTTTATTTGCTGACATTTACTGTAATACTTTTAGAGGCTTTAAATGCTTTGGATGTCTGGTTCCTATCACCACAACAGGCCTTTCACATCAAACCACTCTGAATGACTCTGTTGACATGTTAATTACTGAAAAATGCAGAAATATTGAAAAACAGGTGGAATTTCCCTTTAAACCTAAGAATGTTGTTTTCTTCCCTTTTCAATTTGCCATTTCAGAGATGCAAGGTTTTGGTATGACAATGATGGTATGTTAAATGTATATATGTATTTGCATGGACACCATTTGTAGTGTTTTTAACTACATTTCTTTTGTCTCTAGTATCCTGTGAAGTCTCAGTGCAGCAAAACAGTGAACCACCTGCCATGAATCAAACAAATAACACAAAGCCACCAGCAGAATCAGTAGAAGTTGATGCCAAGCAAGCCAGTGCTGTAGTCGTATCTCTGGAAGTAGCACCTGAGCAAGAAATCCCAGCAGAGAGCAGCACACCAGTTAAAGAGGAGACACCAAAACCAGCTCAGCCTGCCAACTTCTTCAAGAAGTTCAAGAAGAAGAATGAACCCATAACCCCAGCAGCAGAGGGTAAGTGTGTCTTCTGAGTTTTGTAGGCTATGTAATGTTGATACTGGTAAAATAGTGGTAAATCTGAGAAAACATGTTTCCTTTGGGAACTATTTTCACAAGCAATGGCCTGCATGTATTTTTTAGCTTAGAATGTATTTAAAGATATACTTTAGGCCAAAACCTAATCTTAAAACTATCAGGTGTCAACAGGGACGAAATGTTAAATGTTTTAATGTATTTGCATGGACACATTTGTATTGTTTATTTTAACTGCATTTCTCTCGTCTCTAGTGTCCTGTGAAGTGTCAGTGCAGCAAAACAGTGAACCACCTGCCATGACTCAAACAAATAACACAAAGCCATTAGCAGAATTAGTAGAAGTTGATGCCAAGCAAGCCAGTGCAGTAGTCGTATCTCTGGACGTATCACCTGAGCAAGAAATCCCAGCAGAGAGCAGCGCGCCAGCTAAAGAGGAGACACCAAAACCAGCTCAGCCAGCCAACTTCTTCAAGCTTTTCAAGAAGAAGAATGAACCTGTGGCCCCAGCAGCAGAAGGTAAGTCAAGTAAGCAGTGTTTAATAATTTCTGTTTGACCTGTATTCAACTTAAACCTAGTATGATATTTGATGTTTTACTTAGCGAGCTTTATTGTTTATTGTAAATATATGATCATTCTAAATATGAGGGCGGCAACAAGTTCCAAAACATTGGAACAGGAGCATGTTTACCACTATGTCACATCACTTTTCCTTTTAATAAACGTTTGGGGACTGCAGACACCAATTGATCCAGTTTTCAAAGCAGATTTTTTTGTCATTCTTCAGCTGCAGAACTGTATGGGGCTTTTGTTTTTGGATTTTGAGCTTCATAATACACCATATATTTTCAATAGTGGACAGGTAGGCCATTCTAGCACTCACACTCTCTGATTATATGCAGAATGTTTCTTGAAGTTGTCATGTTGAAATACGCATAGACATGCCTAAGGAAACTAAAAGGCAGCATATGTTGTTCCAAAATGTGTAAATATCTTTCCATGTTAATGATGCTTTCATAGAAGTGCAAGTTACCAAAAATAATCCACTCCTATACTATGACCCAGACTTTTGAACTTTACACTGGTAATAATCTGGATGCTTCTTTACTTCTTTGGCCCAGAGAACGCAACATTTATTATTTTCAAGATGAAGCCCAGAGAAGTAGGCAGTGTTTCTGGTTTCTGGACATTGTTGACATGTGGCTTAACCTGTGCATAGCCCAGTCCTAACTTGCATTTGTGGATACAGTAACAGACTGTTTTATTGACAATGTTTTATCAAAGTATTCCTGAGCCCATGCATCACAGAAACATGCCAGTTTTTAGTGCAGTGCCATCTGAGGGATCAGAGGTCATGGGCATTCAGTTGTGATTTTAGGCCTTGCTTTTTACACAGAAATTTCTCTGGATTCTCTGAATCTATTGATAATAATATGTATCATAGAGGTTGAAATATCTAAAATCCTTGTTACAGCTGGTTGAGCATTGTTGTTCTTAATCATTCAGACTATTTGCTGATGCCTTTTTGGTAAATTGTTGCGCCTTGACTTATCCTTGCTCATAAAGAACTAGGCCTTTCCTGGATGCTTCTTTTACACTAACTCATGATTACGTCACATCATTTTTAATGCTTTCTGAATATTTACAAATGTTCCTAGTCTTAAATTGCCCTTGTTTCAACTTTTTTTGGAACATGGGGCAGGCATCAATTTTAGAATGAGCTTTACAAAAAACAATAAAGTTGATGAGATAAAACGTTAAATATCTTGTCTTTGTACTGTTTTTGTTTAAATACAGGCTAAAGAAGATTTACAAAAAAAAAACTTTCTGTTTTTATTTGCGTTTCACATACTGTTCCACCTTCTCTCGTCTCTAGTGTCCTGTGAAGTGTCAGTGCAGCAAAACAGTGAACCGCCTGCCGTGACTCAAACAAATAACACAAAGCCATCAGCAGAATCAGTAGAAGTTAATGGCAAGCAAGCCAGTGCTGTAGTCGTATCTCTGGACATATCACCTGAGCAAGAAATCCCAGCAGAGAGCAGCGTGCCAGCTAAAGAGGAGACACCAAAACCAGCTCAGCCAGCCAACTTCTTCAAGCTTTTCAAGAAGAAGAATGAACCTGTGGTACCAGCAGCAGAAGGTAAGTCAAGTAAATCAAATTTTAGTTTTTATTTTATTGATTTATTATTGGCATTTGAAAATACTGGCTGTCCTTTAATTTGTGTGAAAGTTTCATTATGAATGGACCGACGGAAATAGTCCAAAATTATTTGGAATAATTAATACACACTGAAGGGCAATTATACTTTTCCAATTCCAGTTCCAGTTTTTCAAAATTGTAGATAATTCAGTCATTAATAAAGTAACTGTGGAGAAACGTACAGACTCATATTCTTAATAAAGGTTATAGAAACTAGGGGTTGTTACATATATGATTCAAATATAGCCACTTTATTTACTATTGAAAATGTGTTTTCTGAGTTTTTATAGGCTATGTAATGTTGATACTGGTAAATTAGTAGTAAATCTAAAAAAATAAGCTTTCTCTGGGAACTGCTTGACCATACAATGTCCTGCATGTACCCTTCTGCCATGAATGTATTTAAATATATATATATATATATATATATATATATATATATATATATATATATGTCAAAAGCCTTACAATAAAGCTATAGTTAAGCAGTCCCTTAAACATCAGGCAGTATATTTGTAACCATTTTGTGTGATACTTTTAAAGACCTTAAATGCTTTAGACCTCTGGTTCCTATCACCACAACTATGAACAGTTTGACTCTCTAATGGCTTATTTCATATGAAACCACTCTGACTGACGAATCACTGAATTATGTAGAAATGTTGAAAAATCCCTGTAATTGCCCTTTAAAGCTAAGAATGTTTTTTCTTTCTCTCTTCAAGTCACCATTTCAGCAATGGTATTTCAACTGTATTTATGTATTTGCATGGACACACCATTTGTAGGGTTTTAACTGCATTTCACTCGTATCTAGTGTCCTGTGAAGTGTCAGTGCAGCAAAACAGTGAACCGCCTGCCGTGACTCAAACAGATAACGCAAAGCCATCAGCAGAATCAGTAGAAGTTGATGCCAAGCAAGCCAGTGCTGTAGTCGTATCTCTGGAAGTATCACCTGAGCAAGAACTCCCAGTGGAGAACAGCACACCAGCTAAAGAGGAGTCACCAAAACCAGCTCCAAAAGCCAAGTTCTTCAAGCTTTTCAAGAAGAAGAATGAACCCATAACCCCAGCAGTATCAGAGAGCAATGAATCAGCTGAAGAACAGACGGCTCCTGAAGTACACACTGATGGCCAGATGTTTGTAAGTGCAACACCTCAAGAGTAACACAATTAGTTCTCTCTTCTTCTGTCAGAGCTTAATTAACTAATATGAGCTTAGTATCCTTCATTTTTCCCAATGATAATACACACAAATACATATGATATTTTGTGTATCTCTTTGCTTTTGGCTGTGGTACACATTACATATATTATATCTATAAATGGATACAGTTTATTTAGATTTGCATACTTCGAATACATGAATTAATGAAGTAATAACATTTTGTATGCAAACATATACTGGGATTATTGTCTCAATACAAGATACATCCTAGTTTCAGTGAACGAAACTATGTTTCACTGATGGATCTCTATTGACACTTTTCTATTCTTAAACTAAAATGGCTGCTAGTTTTAGTGAAGCAAGACAGCCTTTAGTTTCAAAAATTGAAAGTGAAGAAACAATGACGAAAATCACAGGGCATTAAAGATAGAATTTCCTAGAAAGCACTGATCAGAAAAATTTATTGTGACCCCATCACTGAGTGTAAATTATCCTCTGCTGAGTTTATAGTATTAATGTAGTAATTAATATAAAATGGCTCTTAATGTGTTTGTCATCCCGATATTATGTTAGAACATCATCAAGTAAATCATTAAGAAAACACTGGAGGCATTTTATCATCAGTTATTTGTAGAATGTTGTTACATATCTTTAATAGTTTCTAGAGGCGAAACATTCTTCAAAATGACACATACCTACCAATATTGACTGGCCAAGAGTGCTGAAAAAAGCATTCAGATGTGAAATCTACAGTACTGTGAAAAAGTCAGATACCACGCTTCATTTATTTAATTTCTAGTCAAAACAGAGTTCATGTTCAAGTTTTTCTTTTACAGGTGATATTTCTGAGGAGATTAAATTTCAAATAATTCACTTGCAGAGGAAAGGAAAATAAATGAAAATCACTAAAACTGTCAGAAAATATTGAGTTGTGTCTGGAAAATTGAAAAAAATGAAGGGTGGTCTCTGACTTTTGGACAGTACTGTATATGAATTTGTTATTGATGGTCAATATTTTAATGGAAGTGGTTTAAAAATGATGTGACTCTAATTATGCACAGTCATTACATTATAAATATACATACATTATATAATTTAAACTAAGATCCAGCTGCTTCCAAACGTGACCCCATTTTCTATTGCTGTTTCCATTATTTTGACCCTCTCTGATACATGTGTTACATCAAGGGCATCCAGTAATGTATCATTGTGCAGAAGTTGGGCATTTTGATTAATCTGCTTGTTTATCCTCCATAAAAGGAGATAGACTCCTTTTGCATGGTCCATGACGAAACCATTGAAGATGCTGACATTGTCTCTCTGCCATCGCCCACTGATCTTGATGCTGAAATTATGCAAGCTGCAGAAAAGCTGTCATTGCAGTTGATTGCTTCCGTTCAGATGGCGCTCTCATCCGAGGACATTACCGATTCAGCTCCATCCACTCAGATGATCTCGCTAGAGGCATCTGCCACTGATGATACTGAAATAACTGAAGCTGGATCAGCTGAACCTCTGACCCGTCCTGAGGCCCTTCAAGCGTCCAGTGTAGCAGAGCCACCATCTGTTGTTGAGGAGATGTTGAAAACTGAGGCAGCATTTGCAGAGGACATCGTGATTAAAGCCAAAAAATATTCAGAAGAGATGTTGCCTATTGCAGAGGAGACTGTTTCAGCCATTGAGATGCCAGAGGTTGTCATTGAGGTTCCAGGATCAGGAGCTGAGAAGCCATTCTATGTGAAATCAGTGAAGGAACCTGAGGAACCCATCATGAGGAATGATGTTCCTGCTATTACGGAATCAGCAGCGCTTTGTGATGAGCCACTGAATGAAATGTATGCACGAGAGCTCACTGGAGAAGAAACGTATGCACTAGAATCAACTGAGGAAGACTGGGTGGTTATTGATGACCCTACTCAAGCAAGTGATTCTGCAAAATTTATGAATTTGCTTTGTCAGCTGAGGTCTGCATGCATAAGGACTGTGGAAGAGTTTTCGTATAATGCCAGCATAAACGTTCATGCAAAAGAAAGAACCATTCACATCACAATCGATGTTTGCTCGAGCATGGGCAATGAGTCAAAGTGTGGGAGTAAGTCCAGTAGTGTCGCTGACGCTGTGGTCAAAGCAACAGCAGAGGAGCAAGAGGGACATCATCACATTCTGAGTAGCGTAAGTCCGACCGATTGGAAACAAGCCTGGATTTGAAGAATGAAATGGAGATCTCACTGCATGGATGAACTCACTGCATGAAGCAATTCAACATTAATTGTCAAATTAAAAACTAATCCTAACATGAGTCACCCCTAAAGTTTAAATACACATAGTAATCTATATACTAAAAACCTATGGTACACTGTAAAATTTATTATGTTGCGTTTTAAGGAATTTCATTGCCTTTGGTTATTTGAGATTGCCGCCTTTATATTATTAGCATCATGTATGTTTACTGTAACTGAGCAGTCCAAGAGAAAATAAACAAATTAAGCCAGAGCAATACAAATACCTATAGGCAATCATTAAAACATTAGTGAAACAGATTCACTCAATTCTCTCTTATAATGTATTAATATTTGTTTAAAAACATTTTTTAGAAAGATAGGTGTAATGTTGGAGCAACATCAGATTAAAGCTATACTTAGACAAACAATTACACAGATTTTTTCTCATGCCATATCGCTTAGCCAAGACATCCTTAGAGAAACAGCATAATCCAGCATAACTGGTCACTAAAAAGAACAACATATGTTGCGTTTTGGATGCTGGTATGATGATCAGTATCAACAGAAGTTGATATGCTGGTCACTACCAATACAAGCCAAAACAAGTATATATTGTGTTTTGTACATCTGGTATACTGGTCAACCAGCATGGCCGTGCTGGGTGACCAGCATAAACCAGCTTAAACCAGCATGGAATTCATGCTGGTGTAAACTTTTTTTTTCCAAGGATGTCTGGTGTCCAAAGTTTGCTTTATTAGTCTTTAACTGCAGCTACAAAGCTTATGTCAGTTACATAGTAATGGAAGCTTATCGACCATCTTATAGACATACTGAAAACTGTGTAAATCATCATACAGTTGCCTAAAACTCAATAGAGGTTTTAAATAATCTAAACTAGACTTGTTTTGGTGGTTTCTGATGCTGTTGTACTTTAATGATTTTCAATAGTAATGTGCTATGTTTTATTAAAATGGACAAAGATATGTTGCATAGCTAAAAACATTAGCAGCCTCCATCCTGAAGCCTGAATTTTGTCTGTACTTTTGTCAATTTTCATGGATTACAGCAGATCATACAGTGCCAAAAATACTTAAACAAGTCTATTTGAGATTACTTCACAACTCAGAGCAGTTTGAGATAACAGTGTGATGATTTAGGCATGCAGTTAGCACAATGCTAACTATGGAGTATAAGCTCTCTTTACATGTTAGCTACATTAGCCTTATAGTTTCAGTGGCAAAATAAAGGAACAAACTTTTGGCTCAATGATGGGTAATGGCTGATCACCTACATTTTGGACAGGGAAAAAAAAATTATAAATTTAAATTTTGGCTAAACCACTGTTTTAAGAGGGATAATAATGGAGCAATGTTGTACCCTTGGACAGTCATGGAACCTTGCTCAAGGGTACAATGGTAGCCAGGGTAGGCCAGAGATTAGTGAATCTGCAGCCTTTTTAGAGTTTAATCAATTAAATTAAGCTATATTTTTGGCACTCACTGTGGTGCTACTGCATCAAAGTTATTATCAAGTCAAGTGATTATATGTGTCTGTGACAACTACGCACTTTTATGAACAAACTGTCATTTTGTTTTGTCTGGGTAGACAACTGTTTTGTCCCCTTTCTCAAAAGATCAATGTTTCCCTCTTCACTAACAATATACTAACTATTATCTACTAATCATTCCTGTCTAGTTCACAAAGTTGAAAGATGGAACTTTCTAACACTCATTTTGCAAGTGCAAGCAGAGGTTATGCATTCTGAATTTTGAGAAAAAAACAAAAGAAAATACTATACAGTAACTTGGCAACTTTTCTACGCATAAGGCGCACACAGGCTTTAAGTCCAGAACATTGCTGAATATCAATGAGTGAGGGGGAAAAAACAGGCACTAATGAAAGGGTGATTGTTGCCGGAGCTCCGAGTAGGCAGAGGCATGGCTGGAATTGTGCAGCGCTTCAATGCAGCGATTAACAGCTACTGCACATCAGCTGTAGGACTGTAACACGTTTTCCAAGGGCTAATTCTCTGGGTTCATCTATAGGAGCCTCCTGACATAAAGGGAAGTACACAGCCTGAGGAAGAGTCACAGGGTGAATCGCTCAATTCCAGCGCCGCTGAGGTCGCAGAAGACAGCGCTCAACCGGAGGAGATTAACCCAGAGGAAAATCCAGTTATGAACTTTTTCAAAACCCTTGTAAGTACATTGTATTATTATTCAATCCTGCTACTGTTCCATGGTGTTGGTTTTCATTCAAATTGATTTTTGAAATCATTGTTAATTACTTATTAATTGATATTTCCAGCGACAATTGTGATTGATAATAATTACATTGATGGTTATTTTTTTTTCAGAATGGAATTGATCAGAATTTTGTCAATTTAAAATGAGAAATTGACATTAATACAGTAATGTATAGAGTTCATGACGTCCAACTAACATATAATCTACTGAATGTGTAAAATAGCCTAAAAACGTCCATCCTTAAATAGAGTTGAATGAAAATTTATGAAACTTGTAAACTTAAACATAAACACAAAGCAAAAGAATTTAAAACATTGCCAGGATTATGTCAGTGGTCAGTGAATTCACCATCTTGATTAAGTGCAACTATAAAAGATAAAAATGTACTTAAATTGATTTTAAAAATTCTTTAGAATTCCAAAGTTGATCTCTTTCAAGAGTTAAACTATTCCCTGGCATGGTGCTAAATCAAGCTCTTTGAACATGTCAGAATGTGGCAGTCTTTTGTTTTGCTGCATAATGTGTGCTCACAAGGGGAGGCCTGTGCGTTTGGAAATTGTGATGGGCCCTGATAAAGCATGGGCAGGCCTACGCCATCTCCGGAGGACAATGGCCAACTCAATAAGAGAACATGTTCACTATGAGCCCTGCCATGGAGCTCTTTGTGTGCTTGTGGCAAAAGCTAGCCCATCTGAACTGCGCCTTGACAGCAAGGCATTATAGTCTGGGACTGTTTTTTAAATATATATCTCAATTGCTTAGCCCCGGATTTAAAACCCAGCAGCTGGAAACATTATAGGCTTCCTGGATGGAGTACCTGAAGGAGAGATATATGCTAAAGCATGCAACCATCATGATTTTCCACAGTCACTCAAATATTTCCATGACTCCATTCTCTTTTTTGCATGCGAAGGTGAGTCCGACCAAAACAACAAAAGAAGCGACAGCTGCTCCTGATGCCTCAAAAGACCAGGTAAATAACTCTGTGGACTGCTATTGCACCAGTAATGATGGCTGTGGATCATTTGTGATTGTATTTTTTCTGCTGTTTGTAGTTTAATGCAAATGTATTTTCAACTGACTGATTTTTCAAAAGAATGATTAAGCTGCAGTCATGTTCCGATGGCTTGTGTGATTGTGTATCAGATTCTCATTTGTGCATTGTTGAGCTAATGAAATTTTACAGATTTTTCTCTCGGCACCAAGTGCATTTGACTCTGGGCCCATTTATTTTCTGCAGTTGCTTAGTCAGGTATCTCTTTTGCTGCAGTTTAGCTTACGCAGGTTAATTCATCATGAAAGACTGCAATCCAATGGAGACCATTTGTGTTTTGATAGTTATCCATAATAATCCCCAGCTGCTGGCAAAATCCTTTATTGAGTGGAAAAACATAGAGCTTTATGATTTACTGGTCTTGAGTCAGGTACTGTATTTGTATGATTGACCCCTGCTGCTGAAGATGCTTCCACACTCCTTCCCACCATGCTTTATAGACTGAAGGCCTCCAGACAGAAAGACCATCAGTATTAGTATGGAATTCTTTGCTTTAATCTGTATATGTTTGCTTTTTTGACTTTTTTTTTCTGCTTTTTTTCAATACACAGTCACAGAAGGAGACCCCATCGGTTTCAACACCAAGCGTAAGAAGCTCTTCCTGTGATATCATTTTATAAGTCTCAGTCAGTCAGAAATTCCATTCCAATTTTCCATTTGTCTCTATTATAAGGTACAGGAAGTACCGAAGGTGCCCCCTCCTCCACCGCCAGCACCTCCAAAGATGGAAAGTAAAGCTGAATCAACCGTAAAGAAAGAGGAGGCCCCAGCAGCAGAAGCAGCAGCAGCAGCCAAGGAGCAAGAGACCCCCAGTAAAGCTAAAGCTAAAGACAGCCCATTTGGCAAGCTCTTCCGTCCAAAGGTACATCTGACAGCTAAATATGCAATGCAGCATACTAAAAATGCATTACAATATATTCTATTGCACTTACAGATGGCAGCAGTCCAGTAGCCAGTATCGATATTGGGCAGCAAATGCTGGAGGGATATCGGTAGAAAAAAATGAATGTAAATCTAGCCTGAAATAGCACAGAATTGTTTCTAGTGCAGCCAAGTAGTAGGTTTCAGTATTGGTATAACTACAAGAAAAAGTGGTCTTGTGCCATCTTTAATTGCAATATTATTCATTTTCATATGGGATAATATAACAAGTAAAAATAAAGAAAAATGGCACAGTAGTATCACATTGAACACTAGCTAGCATTGGGTCAGGTCATTGTACCATATTTTAGTGTCTAAGAAGTGGCACACCATAACAGAATTATGTTCATTTGAGGCATTGCTAGGCAAGGTGGTGTCAAAAGTTCAGGCGGCAACAGCGAGCGGAGCCGGCGCCCCTGCCAAGGCATCAGCAGCGGTAAACAGCAACACAGAGTGGCCATTTTGAAATTAACAGGACTTACCCATTCAGTGTTTTCATCACTGATGCCATTAAGTTAATTGCATCCTTTCACCAATCAATGACTGATTCTGAGAAAGAAGAGTTATGATATGCCATATTATTAGTGATTGTTTTTCAAATCATAATTTGTGTCAGATTCATCACTTCAAACTTCATTCTCATATGCATTTTAGTGAAATTGCTTCATCTGTTGACAAAATCTGCTCCCGTTTCTCATCATGAGGAGCAAACATTTCACTCAGCATGATGAGTAGACAACTGAACTTCCATTACAGTGACATCATCCTGACAGCAGCCATTACCTCATATGACAACTGTCGGCCAACTAAACCATGAGCTTTGGGTCTCATTCACTTCATCCCATCACTTAATAACTGATGTCAAATTTATTCAGGCTTCTTAGAGGCATTGTGCTACAAGCAGCTGAGTTATGGGTCTTGTGAGACTGGAAAAGCTTTTGCAAAGGCTCATGGGAATTGTAGTTTTTTGCCTAGTTAACCCCAAATATCTGCTTACCTGCAGTCTGTGGTGAAGGAAGAAGCAGAGCCAGTTGAGGTACAGGTAAATAAGTTCAGCACTGTTTCAATCTGATCATCTGATCAATTTGATCACCTTTTTGGGGCTGCATGCAGGAAACACTGGTCTCTCTTCTGAAAGAAAATCTGATGTTGCCTCTTTCTTTCAGGTCACAGTTAAGCTAGACAGCTAATGATACTTGTATGAATTGTACTTTGCAATTCATCACCCCATGTACTTAGCTGCTTCAAATTCCTCTTGTGATTCTGCTCACAAATGCTGTCCATGTTCCTCGTTCTTCTGCCTCCAGTGCTTCCTTGATGTATTTCCTTCTTTGTTCTCTGGACTGTTGTCATACTCATACTCTCTCCTACTCCCCTATTTAAGGTAGATGCATCCAAGACCAGCACCCTTGAGGCTGCTGCCAAACCGGAACCGCCTCCGGCCCCTAAACCAGAAGAAAAGAAACCAGAGAAGAAGCCCTCACCCTTTGCCAACTTGCTCAAACCAAAGGTAAACAGACTTGCAGCACAAAGCTCAAGGCTGCCAGTGAGTGGTGTTTGTCAAACACTATTGTGGTTTGAGTGAACACATGAAGTAACTAGACTTTTGTGTAAATTTGAGGTACTGCTAGGCCAAGTGAGCTCTAAGATCCAGGCAGCTGCATCAAGTGCTGCAGCCAGTGTCTCCCTTGGCACTGGAGGAGCGGTAATTAGTGATATTTATAATGGTCATCTTAAAATTAACCAGACTTACAAAATTAAAGGAGATGCTGTCAGGATGTGCTATGACATACCATGGCTGTGTTCAAAATAGCATACTTAGTACTGTATACTGCACTGGTGTGTACTGTTCACTGCATGCTACTCCTCATAGCAGTATGCAGTATATTATGCAGTATGCCAGAATTACCTTAGTCTGGCAGGGCCAGTTGGGATCTTGTTACTACAATACATGCCTGGGGACAACTTATTAAACATATTATTGAATACTTTTCACTTCATAAGGATGTATGTGGAAGAAACAAAGATGCATAAAAATCTCATATTATGTAACATGATATAAGCTAGCAGATGTTACTAATATATGCCATATGTTTTCTATGATATATTGTTAAATACGTATATATGTTTGTAGATGTTGAAATATGGCTGAAATATATGTTCTGTATTTGAAAATGGCTAATTTTGTATAAGTTGGCATTAATGTCACACATATGCCCCTGTGTGACATATATAAGTTAGATATAAGTGAATTTCATATATCATTGCTGTCGGACCAAAACTCTGTATCTCTGTATCTCCAAAATCTTACCCCTTTAACTTCTAATGGAAGTTAATATAACAAACCTTGGAGATACAACATTTTTGAAGGGCAGCAACAATATGCATGTATATGCCATATATTTGAAATCCATATATTGCCATATTTCAGAGTTCCATAGGTTTTTTCATACTTACATTTAGAGCATTTGGAAGACGCTCTTATCCAGAGTGAGTCACAGTGTGATCACTTTACAGGTGAGGAGGTAGACATATGTAGTGTTAAGCAAAGGTAGTGTTAGGAGTCTTACCCAAGGACTCTTATTGCTATAGTGTAGGGTGCTCACCCTATAGAACCCCAGTCTGCAGCATGTAAGGCAGAGGTGTTTATCTCACACTGTGCCAACCAACCTTGCCTTGTAGTTTTTATTTTTACTACATGTAATACATTCACTGCACACACATATTTAATTAAGCACATCTACATGCTTAATTTACTTTGAGTTCCACCTTCATGAGGGGCTGAATGGGTTTGAAATTTGACATCCACTTTGCTATCACCCTAATAAGTCTACATTCCCACCTACATTCAGTCCAGAATTTCTCAGGAATGTCTCCAGATGTTCATGCTACGAGATCACATCTGGCCCAGCAAGACAACAATTACTATATCATGTACCATACAGCAGGGCAGGGGCATGACTAGACTCTACCAGCTTCAGGGGCTTAACCAGTTGGACTGTTCATAAGACCTGCCTCACTTTCTTAGCCCTCCAGTCACTGTTTAGCAACCGCTGCTAGCCCCTTTTCTGTGTTGGATTATGGGACACAGTTTAGCATACTGGAATATTTAGCCAGAGTAGTATGTCATCCAGGTATCTTTGGCATGCTGGAGAAATTCATGTTGGTCACATACTGCATGCCACTTACTACTTTTTGGCAGTATGCCAGCAGTATGTAGTAAGCAATTTTGAACACAGCCTCTGACTGACCTACTTATTTTGTGGTCGGGTAACTTTGTCAGATAACTGGTGTTATTGTTCTCAAATGCTTACAGCTGACTTAAAGGAATAGTACAGCAAAATATTTGAACATGTTCACAATTTTCCCCTAAATTCAATTTTAGTATGTCGACCAAGACATGTTTGGTATCTGGAATATGTTGCAGTGGAGCTACAATTCAACAAGGACTGGAAACATACCCCAACAAAGCATTGTATGCGTGTTTAAATCACACTTGCCTTAAACCCCATTGAGTTGTTAAAGGGCCTATACCATAGAAAATTTCCTCACTGTTTTGAAATAATAGTTTGATGTAGTATGTAAACATCATAGTAATTCCCAAATCCATACTGTTTAAAAACGGAAACTGTCTCTTACATAACATCCTTCTATTTAGCCTCCAGCAATTTAGGCTATAAATAGTGTTTCAACCTGGATTTCTTTCTGTATGAGACACAATACAGGGCAGCCAATCAGAGCAGAGCAGAGCTTTTACATATACCAGTTACCATAAGTGAAACTCATGTACAAGATAAAAATGTAGTAATTTATAAGTTTATGTAATCTCAAATAAACTTGATTAATTGGTTCCTGATGCTGTCGATCAACAAAAGTGCAGATAAAATCCAGGCTTCAAGATTGCTGCTACAACTGTTTTTAGCTATATGTACATTTTTGTCCATTTTTATAGATATGAAACCTCAGAACCACACTATTTGAGATAACGTAATAACTATACACAGTTTGAGGCAAGTATATTTGCATTATTCAGTAATGCAATTTCAGCATGCAGTTTGCAAGATGCTAATTGGTGAGTAGCTTACTTTACTTGTTAGCTACATTAGCCTAGTAGTTCCAGTGTAAAAGGACACTTCAGACACTTTTTTCATGAATGTCTCTTTTGCCGAACTATTACTTTAAAACTGCGCTGTATATGGATTCTAGTTTTAATATTCTCACCAGGACTACAGTTCATCACTTTTTATCACTTAAAAATCACTGTTACAGGAGCAGCTCTCTCGTCTATGGGCCATGAGTAACTGCCTTTTCTACTTATTCTGCTTTTAAAGCTTATCACATTAATCTCTTCTTGCTCTCTTTTTGTAGCTCTCTGTCTTTGTAATCATTGTAGATAAGAGAATCAGGGCAGTCAGTGAAAAGAGTAGCTACACTTATTCTTCTGATGTGATTTGATCAAAGGCCACAGAGCAAAAGAAAGAACCCCCTGCAGCCCCTGCCGCAGCAGAGGCCGCTGCAAGTGCCAAGGTCAAAGAAGAGCCAAAGCCCGCCGTTACAGCTGCTGCTGTTGCTGCGGCCGCCCCGGACAACAAGTCAGTGGGCAGTGCAGATAACCCTTCGCCCAGTGTCCCACGCAAGCTAGAGAAGAGGAACTCCATCCAACTGTTCTTCAAAAACCTGGTAAAGAGAAAAAACAAAACAAACAAACAAAAAAAAAACTAAAGGCTAAAGCTAAATCAAGCACAAAGGTGTAAACATGATTGCCATATCAGTGTAAGGCGAGGTATTTACTGTAGAAATGAGTTGTTGTTAAACCGGATTTCCCGAAAGTATCTTGGCACAAAGATTATTGTCAAATGGTAGAGCAACTGAGCATCACATTGAACACTCTCTCTACAAGATAAGATCAAGGGGAATTCCACCAATTTTTCCAAATTTCTGCATAATTAAATATTTTTATAATTGATTCAGAATGGTTTGATGTGAATTGCTCTGTTCTTAAAAAACTCACTGAGACCGAATTGTTTCTAGTGGTGGTGATAGGAACCAGACGTCCAATGTTTTTAATGCCTTTAAAAGCTCCCGAAGAGAAAATTATTTACATGAAATAGTTTAAAATGCATTGTCTGATGCCCCAGACATTGTTTTATGATAGTTTTAAGATAAGATTTTGGCCAAAAATATATTTTTATGGATACATTTATGGCAGAGAGATATATAATGCCATTATAAGGCAAAATAGTACCCAAAGAAAACAAAAGACTTTTTTACAATTTACTGGTCGTTGTATATAGCAAATAAAATGTGTGCTGTAATCATAGTGACCCCTGGTTCCTATCACCACTATTTTACAGAAATCAGAGTTGGTAAGTTTCTCTACAATTAACCATTTCACAGCAATGCAGCCTGAATGACTTTGTGTACATCTCAACAATTGAATTGGGCAAAATTTGGAAAAAAATGGTGGAATTCCCCTTTAATGCTATAAAAACATCTGGCCCTGGTTGCCTTAAAGGGGAATTCCACTGATTTTTTTTTTCAAATTTTCTGCACAGTTTAGTCATTAAGATGACTAAAAAGTCATTCCCAGTGGATTTATGTGAAATATGCATGAATCTAGAGAAACTTGCGTAGTCAGAATGAACAATGGAGGTGACGGTGATAGAATCAGACAGCAGTAGCGTTTAATGCCTCTTTAAGTTCCCTCACAGAAAGTTGTTACATTAAATGTAAAAAATAGAATTTCTGATGCCTGAGACTATGTTTTATGATAGTTCTTAGATAAGAATTTGGCCTAGAACATGTATTTTAAAAGCCATTCTTGGCAGAGAGGTGCATGCAAGGCGTTCTAAGGCAAAACAGTCTCCAAAGATTTTTTTTTTCAAATTTAACACTGTTTTACCACCATCAATGTTGCAAATGAAAACTCAGAAGACGTGTAGGTTCACTGGTGGTTTTGGATAATAAATAAAATGGCTGTATTTGAGTTGTTGACATCGTGACCCCTGGTTCTTATCATCATCACTGTAAAGAAAGCTTTAAAGTTTTCATTCAGTTCATTATAACTCAAATAGTTGCACATTTATATTATCTGAACACCTTCGATGAATCATTAGTCATTAGTTATAAAAAAGTTCATGATGATAAACAGTAAAATTAATTTTTCAGTGTTGTCTTTGGCATTGGTATAAAAATAGGGCCTTGCACACACATAGTGATATTCTGGTACATGATGAAAATCTCAGGTTGAAAAGAAAAATTCTTTCTGATGACTTTTACAGAACATGTATAAAAACCCCTTGTGCACTATGAGTCACTTGTGGTTTGGTCTTATATGTAATGTCTAACGTAGAACGTCTTCCCACCAGTGGCATATCCTGACCACTAGGTGACCTCATTTGGCAAAAATAGATATGCGAACTCTCACTCTTTTGTCAGTGCTCTTCCAAAAAAGGTATTATAGGTTTAGCCCAGGTATATACCGGCACAGTATATTATACATGAAAGTATATGGCCAAAAAGTTAAAGGATGAGTTTTAATAGTCAGCTATTAGTGTCAGTTAAAAAGTCTTTTGAATGTAGTTAGTACTTTCTGTATTGCCTTGTAATTTCTAGGTGGAGCACCAATGATGTCACCCTATAAGCATACAATAAAAGCATATCTGTATACACCCTTTATCCAGAACTCTACTTGTGAGTTTGAGCCAGATACATCTGGGAAGCTGATGTAAATAAGCCTGTAGTCGCCTAACAGGTTGTGATCAGTTATGCTCAAGGCAGTAATGCTAACCTTAGCAAAGGCAGACACTATTAAACTGAGCCTGCCTCTGTTTCTAATGCTGAATCTACTTTTGATGTGTCTCTCAGGGTCAAAAACGTCACTCTGACGCTGGAGTGCAAACGGAAGCCGTGGCACCTGAGAAGGCCAAGTAAAAGCCCTGCTCTTCGTCATCTGCGCTGAAAAGAAAACCCTTTGCATGTAAATAGGTATACGCATCTGAATGTCCTGACTTGGGGGGTTTACTTCTTACTCACCCTCCTGAACTGAACTGAAAGGAAACTCATAAAGCAAGGCCATTCCCAATTTCAGTACTTCCCAAACCTTCTGGAGTCAACTTGCGTCTTAATCCCAATACTTATAGGGGAATTCCACTGATTTTTCAAAATGATTAAATAATTCAGTAAACAAAGTCATTGAGAGTGGCTTGATGTGAAATGCGTTGTTCTCGAGAAACATACTGATTCAGATTTCTTTACAGTGGTGGTGATAGGAACCAGAGGTCAATATGTCTACAGTGCAAATATAACTATTTGATTTACTATCCAAAATGTCCTGTTAACCCACATGTCTTTAGTTTTTATGTGTAATGTAATGGTAAATCTGGAAAAAAAAAAATCTTTTAGGGACTGTTTTGCCTTAGAACTCCCTACATGTAACTCTCCTTCATGAATGTAGTTAAAATGCATTTTAGCCAAAACCTTTATCTCAAAACTATCTTAAAACAATATCTCAGACATGGTGTAATATATCTGTAAGCATTTTATGTAACAGCTGTCTGTGACATCTGGTTCCTATCACCACCACTATGATCAGACCTGACTTGGTAAGTTTCTCTAGAACAGAGCATTTCACATCAAACCACTCTGAACAACACTGTTTACATCATAATAAATGAATTATGCAGAAAATTAGGAATTCCTTTTTATAAGCCACACAGAGGTGTTTGGTTCTTTATATACAGTAAGAACAGAGGAAACTTTGCAAAGTTGCAAGAGGGTCTTGAGACTTGGTGAATTTTGGATGGTTTTATAATAAGTTTGATGGGGAGATGAAAAAAGAGGTACTAAGGTTCAATGTGACTTGCAGTTTCTGTTATATATAGTGGTGTAATGTAAATGTCAATTAACCCTGTCTTAACCCACAATATGGCCTTTTATGTAAATGCTTATTATTGCATGCAAAAAAACTAGTGTCATATGTCCAGCTTTATGATTCTGGAACATCTGATATTTGCACACATGGACAAACATTCCTATGGCTGTGAAAACAATCTGCAAATAACCCATAGAGTTTCTCCATTCAATCCAATTTTAAAGTCACCCTAAGTCAATGTTAACAACACTTCGAATGCTTTTTTGTGTTGTTGGTGATAAAACTGTTAACATCTTATGTGCCATAAGACCCTTTGATGCAGTATGGCCCATTGCTACAGTTTCATGCTAATTTAAAATCAGTTTCTTTAGTTAACACAAATTTTGCTAACATATTTATCACATTATCGCATGCAAGCTTTATGAAATATCGTCTTCTTTGTTGGTACTACTGTAAAGCATGTTTTCTCTAGCCAAGCCCTCACTAACCCTTCCACATGGTTTCTATTACTCTCTAAATAAACTGCTCATTCGCTTTCAGCATGGTGTAATTGCTTCCTCTGAAGTGGTATTTATGCTCAGTATCAGTCAGGCAGTTTATGGAATTTCAGTCTGCCCTCAGCGCATATATAAAGAGAATGGACCTAATTTGAAATCCTGATTTTATCTTGATATCTGAATCTAAGAGACACGGACATTTTCATCACTTTTTTTTTTTCATTTTTTGCATTTTATTGCTTGTAATCAACTAATGTCATCAATTAAATGAAATATTCTGTCTCTGAGAAATGATCCAGTCCTTGTTAATAAAATGCAAGGGTTCAACAACATGAAGACATTTCTTTTTTGCTTTGTTAACAGATCTTGACGGTCTGGTTTCATTCCTGCTCAGACAAACAAATGGCAGATTGATGAGTTTTATAAGGCATTCAGATCTCAGTGAAATCACTTTAATTAAGGCTATCGCTGCTAGACTTTATATCTCCAAAATGACAACTTTATAGGAAAAAGGAAAACACGTTCTTAACTTCAAAGGGCCCATATGCTAGCTTTTTCTTGCTTTTTATTTGCTTTTTATTTTTCAACTTATGACATTTGTGTGGGTTTTATACACCAAAAACAGTTTTTGTTACTGTACGTGTATGACTGATACAATTGTATGCAAAAATTTGACCACCCCAGTCAAATTACGTTTTGTTGATTTTCTAAGTGAAAATGAGTTAACGCGTCCTCTACAGGGAACACGTTTAAATATGGCATTTGTCTGTTCATTGTAGAGGACAAATTCTATTCATTTGCTGAGTTAAACGCATTGAAAAAAAAAAACAGAACAAACCAAAATTGTGTCATAACTTCTGCACAGGCCACATCTTCTGTGTGTTTTTGCTAACTTCAGCAACAGTAGGTGATCATTTAAATGTACAGAAGTGTGTTCTCTGTAGAGGATATGTGCTTATTTTCCCTTAGTAAATCAACAAAACATGCAATTCAACTGGGGTGCTCAAACTTTTGCGTACAATTGTACATTTGTACATCATAACATCAATGTGAATGGGTGGAGCTAAACTGCTGTAGGCTGAATATGTAGATATATGTAAATTCATTGTTTTTTTTTTGGTGACTTCACAAAAAGTCGAATTCAAAACAGGAAGTTCTTACAGCTTAGTTTCCATATATGGACAGGTAAGAGTGGTGAATGAAGAGTACATGTTTACATACTAGCAAGATTTCCTTCCAACTGATTTTGGAGCATTTCTATTGATCCATTTGTCATGAAATCCTCACACATGGTAAAGCTGGCATTTCTAAATGGTGTAAACAATTAAAAACTGAGAAGCATTCGAGATATAACAGTGATGCAGTGTTATCAGCTCCTGATTAAAGGTCTTCAGCACCCATCGTGCTTCTTTTGTCCCAGTCCACTGGTCTCGCGCATGAGCAGTAGGTCAGCAGGGTGAGGGATCTTAGCCGGGGGAGGGGGACTGGAGCTGGGGGACAGTGGGCTGGGAGGCCCCTTGTCAGCATTAATGTGTGTCACAGCCAGCACTGCCTCAAAGCCCTCTGTCTGAGAGAGAGAGAGAGAGAGAGCAGGAGAGTATATAGTATGAGGGTGGAAGAGATCAGATTCCAAGGCCCCTAGGGGGCCCAAGACATTTTCAGCCCACTTTATGACTAACAGAAGCCATTATATTCCAAAACTGACACATCCTGTTTCCTGACATATATAAATTATAGCATCAGCACTAATAACCTCCTCATAAGATGATTTTTACCATTCAAACGTTTGGAATCACTTGTTACGGTAACAATTGCTGTTGTTGAATTCAATAACAGGTTATATACAGTGTAGTAGCTTGAAATACTAAAAGCTAGACACCAGAAGGTGTAGTCGTATGCAAAAGTTTGAACACCCCCAGTCAAATTACGTTTTGTTGATTTTTTATGTTCTCTTATACAGAGAACTCAAATATGGAAATTTTATACAAATTTTAGTGCACAGTTTCAATTTATTTGCTGTGTTTAACCTATTGGAAAAAATAAAACATGAAATATAAAACGTGACATAACTTTTTTTCCCCAACATATTTCAGCAAATAGTAATTGTGCATTAAAATGTGCAGAAGTGTGTTCTCTGTAGAGGATGTGTTAACTTACAAAATCAGTGTGTGTTGTGTGTGTTATGTGTTAACTTAAAAAACACTTCACTTGATCAGGGGCGGCCAATCTATTGCATATGTTAAGGTGTTTAATTTAATATTTAATAAGTGTTTAATATGTTTCTTGGGAACAGCGAGAAGTTATAAAATGATAAATAATATAGTGTAATTATCTGCCATAAGATTTAATCACCACTTTTTAAATATGAAATTAATTCATTATAACTTCATTCTCAATGATTACCTTCATTCTCAATGATTACCTTCATTCTCAATGATTCTTTATGGAATCATCAGCTCTGTCCATTTTGACACAACAGAAAAATTCACATTTTTTTACAGAAAAATTTGTTAAAACCATTAGTTGACGCCCATAAAGTGGTAACACATCATTTTATATGTATTTTAATAAAATGCCTTTATTTAATTGAAAACAGTAATTTCATACTGACATAATTCATATTGACCTATCATATTGTCACGGTTATAACAAAACCTTGCATTTCTGAAATGGTAACATTTGTAGGAGAAGGAAATCCCTTTAAAGGGCCCATATCCTACATTTTTATTGCATTTTTTTTTACCCCTGAGGTCCAATTATAACTTTTGTGTGGCTTTATGTACCAAAAATGTTGAAAATTCATTCTGACGTGACTATTTTACAACCTCTCTTAACCACTTTGACTTAAGCAGGCTGTTTTATTTCTGGGCTTTTAAGACTGATATAAGTTAAATGAGCTTTGTTTTAATTGCCTGTCCTGCATTATGCTTCATTCAGAAAAACAACCTAGGCCTGGACACCTTAGAACATCTGTAGGCAGAATATGTGGATATATGTGAAGGAGCTGGTTCTTGTGACATCACAGAAACAATAAATTCAAAATGGGCTATTTTTGCAGCATAGCATCCATATATGGACTGTAAGATCTGAGGAGTCAATGACTCATTTTGAAAATGTAACAAGGTTTACATACTATTTTTAACTCTTATTTCCAAACAAATAAGAAAAGGTGTTTTTCCATGTTATGAGCCCTTTAATGTATAGTTGTGTGTAAAAGTGTGGGTCAGATGACATGTTTTGTTAATTTTCTAAGTGAAAATAAGTTACAGAGAACACACTTCTGCACATTTTAATGCACAATTACGTTTCTGTCCTGAATTTAACATATGAGGGGCTGTGCAAAAGTTATGGCACACTTAATTTATATAATTATGTTAAACTATTCTATTATGTTTAAATAAATAGAAATTGTGCTGAAATTTGGAGAAAAATACCATGTTTAGGTTCCTTATTTTCAGTTATTGTCACTTAGAAAAAAAACAAAACGTTTAACAGGGGGTGCCCAAACTCTTGCATACAACTTCATATTAAGGTAATGAAACGTTCATACAATATAAAAGCCAAGTACCATTTTCAAATGGTAATTAATTAATTAATAAATAAATAAATAAATAAATAAATAAATAAGCAAACAGAGTTGCTAGGTTTTAATATGATAGCACCAAAGTATAATTCTATATGTTAGCATCAAGAAACTGGCTGATAATATCTGCACTATTATGAAGGTAATATCAGCCAATTATTAGATTACTATGTGTTCTTAGGGCAAAAAAAAAGTCACGGCTGGGCAAGGTACCTGAGTGTCCATAACAACAGAGCAGCTGTTTGGGTGAGGCT